TTCGGTGAATCTGAAGTCGACTTACCTGCACTGGTTGGTGACGGCCTTACATAACTTACACGCAAACAATCTTAAGTTACGTTTTTAAAATTTCTTTCACATCAGAATCAACAAATACTTTTTCATGATTGGTGTAACTATAGCTTCTAGTTATATGAGTTTGTAGTGGGCCTATGGGAGAATTGAAGTAGGAGCTTTTTTATGAGAGACATTCGTGCAATTTCACAACTACTTGATTCGCGGCGTTGTTATAAGCTTCCTTCCATTCCCGGACATAGTAGTTAAAATTACCGACAAGAGACAATTGCCTCTCAACAAGGTGTTTCACAACGCGAACACTAACAAAATCCTGCAACCTAAATAAAAATGCACTTTGCTTTTTTCGCGCTCAATACGAAGTTCTGGAAACAGAAAATATTAATGCTGGAAGTATTCTCACCACTTTCGCATATATTCTAAGACGAATCTAAATATTCTTGCCAGTATAAACCGAGTAATTAAAATATTGCACGATTTAATGTATTTTGCGAATAAAAAATAAAGACAATTCTAGATTTTTTGTTTGTTGTTTAATTAACCACTTTCTGTGGCTCATTCTTTTTACGGTCGTATGAAACGATGGTTAGTAAATAATTAATTGAAAAGGATGTGGAAGAAAGCGACCGTGGGCTAATTTAATTTACTCTTCCGCCGTTTGCCAGGAGTAACTGAGAACAACGATACGCGTCAAATATTCCCAGATTCAGAAACTAACTTCAGTAACTTATTTAATAATATTATTTTGCTTTAGATAACGTCAGACATGAAAGTATTTAAAATGATGTAAACTTATGGTCACTTTCCTCTAACTGTTAATATAAAACTTACTTTCGTAAAAAGAAACACAATGTTTCGAAAGCCGGTTTTGCTTCTATTATCATGTAGAACCATACAACCCAGTCGGTTGGGTCCACTTGAAAGAGTTGGTTTCAGAAACCGTGTAACATTACCCAGTAAGGTGTGCGGGAAACCTAAGGATGATCATTCTAAGTACAAATCAAATCTGATCATTCTCCACATGTAAAGAGATGAGATATTAATTGTTTTATCAAGGGGACAAGATTATGTAAGATGTCAAGAACGATGTAATTCGTCAGAGAAATTAGGGATACCAAATGGGGCTTCGTGCTCAGTCTCCATTTTCATCGTTTTATCGAGTCTGACAGAAACAGATCGGCAGAAAATGGCCGTTCGTCTTGTAACAGAACACCTCGGCGCGCGGCTGTTAACCCCTGTCAAAGGGTTACCCGAAAAACTTAGACGAATTTAAAACCATTTTGCCAAAGCTACTATCTTAAAAACTGCAAGTAATCTGATGTCCTATTCAAGGAATGAGGCAGTTGCGTTGAAATCGTTTTATATTTTTTAACATACACATTAAAATATTTTTTAAACTGAATACTTATGCCTACAAATGTTCTGAGAGTGGGAAGCTTTCCTTTAAGACCTTCCTTGTAATCGCGCTTTTTGGTGTATTATAATTTGAAGTCACTAGCATTATAAACAGCAAGCGCTTGGCCAGCTAGTCACCAGTAACGGAATCAGCAAATAGCATATAAGTTAAATTTTTAATTCACAGACTACAAAAGGGGCGTAATTTTGAAAGTCAAACTCATGGAATGAAAGAACTCCAATGGTTTTTGACGTAGTAAGACCAACTGCGAAGGAGTAAACTCACAGAGTGGGATCAAGGAAGTTGAGCAAGATTCTATCTTTATTCTTTTCGGAACTGCTAGTACTATTATCAATGAATAACATGAAATTTTCAGAATTGCAATGATTACTGGCAGAATTGATTTTTGATGCTGTGAATATTTAATATTAATAAATTAATTACGTTTCACTTTAACTTATTTTTGCTTTGCCAGAGAAGACGGCAGGTACCAATCTCAGCCTAAGTTCTCTGTAAATTGTGTGATCAAGAAGACAGCTTTCATCGATTATAAGGTCAAAAATAGCCAAGAAACTGCATTATGATAGCAGTGATAGGTAAACTTATTTTGACGTGTTAGACAGTTATTAAGCTATCCGGTTAAATTTATTACTCACGTAGCTGATTTTCTTCAGACAACTAAAGACAAAATCTTGTTAAAATACATTGGCACAGGCTACGATCAATTCTACCACCATACTCTCTCAAATCACAGTTCATAATTAATCTCCCTCGCCTTCCGACGCTAAATTCTATTCGCGGTTGCTTTGTTATAGCTAAATAATGTACGAATTAACAGACAGTGAAAACAATGTGACTTTTCATTATTTTGCTGTTAATTTCGATACATTTATGAAAAAATAAATTTAAAATACGAGAGGGAGAGAAATTAGTCGACTTCTACGCAAAAATACTCTGCTGCCAAATACAGGAGAGATTGAGGAAAATTTGGTTTGGACATAAAAATAGTATTTGGCAGTTTCAGTTCAATTACTTTTGCTGGAATAAATTTGTTGCAATGAATTTTAATTTATTGAGGTACTGAGTAAATGTGACAGGATTCTTAATTGGCCTATTACATTTTGAAACTTAATGCCAAAGTTTTAAAAATGCATTTCTTTTTGTTGGGTGCATAATGATTAGGAGATAGGGAGATACTTAAATCAGGGACGTCTACCCTTCAGCGCCACTACAAATGTTTGTGTTGCTGTAATGGAAACCAGGAAACGTGAGTTATCCTTTACAAATGTGTGTCGACTGGAAATGGAATGAGGTCTAGCAAACCGCCGCGAATCAGGGCGATTAACAGATCTGATAGAATTACAAGTAAGAGATAACAATTACATTTTATATTCCACATTCTATTCGCATGTCCATCCTTCACAGCCTACATAAAATCGATCCTATTTGCACAGAAACAGAACGGCGTGTCATTCAGGAGCAAATGCATACAAAATTGTTCAGTGTCTGCAGTAGTAAGCTCAGTGTTTGGGAATACCATTCGCAGAATGTCATCCCTATGTTTACAAACTAGTTTCCGAATTTAAACCATTAACGTTTCCAGTCGACAATAACTAACAACTGTGGATAATTTGCATGCAGCGCCAACTAGTGATCCATTTTCATTGAAGTAGTGCACATACACAAATGTTAAAATTAATTCAAAGCAAAACAGTAATGTAAAATTACTGGTCGGTGCCTTAACGTTCGCAAACACATTCCTGTTTATATTAATTGACATAGTTAAACTTGTTGCACTGCACAGTTACATGGACGACAAATATGTCACATGATGGTCAGTTCATCTGAGGTATTAAGAGAAGCTTACTAACAATTCGTATCAGTGGTGATACGTGTACTGGTCTACACAAAGTTATTTCTCTCCCATACATGGTTCATGTTGATTTCATGCCTGAGAAGTAAGTTCACGTACAGTATTTTTGTCACTTAACAACGCTGAATCAACTACCTGATAAATTAATTTCTATAAAACATACTTGGAAGATCGGCTTGTTGTAGCCGTCAGGTCTGTTGACGGCATCTTCCTCCAGAAACACGCAGGCTGTGTGCTCCGCAGAAGAGTATGTGTACGTCACCTCGCCGTGACTCACATACACTGGTACTGATACCAATAGAATCACGATCCATGTCACTCCGATTGCAGTGAACGCGTTCCGCTCTGTCCGTATCTGAAACACGTTTACAATGAACGTGACCCGCACAGGTATCATACACAAGTCTGACAATATAATTGTGGGGTTGAAAGAATTCAACGAACATTGGCCAAAGTATTTGATAGTAGTTGAATAAGGCATGTAAAAGAAGGGTTTGACTTGTTCCGTGTTACCGATTTCTTTCGTGAATTCCTCAGCCGTCCCTGACAAATGTCGGGATTACCTTAAGTTAAGATACGACCGTTTTATACCTTTTCTGCCCTAATACATGGTTTATTAATCATCCAGTTTTTCGACGCAAATCACAGCGTTGTTAAACAAACGTCAACTGAAATAGTACTTGTTGACGCCCACAAAATTGTTGCCAGAGTAAATTACTAAGGGTATTTGCTGCTGGGGTCTCAAGCTAGCTACTAACCTCCATATACTTCCAAACTTAATAATGCGTAGATTTGTATATCCAGTTCCCCATACAGCTGCATGGCGTGGTGTATATAATTAAGAACAGGAGAAATTCTTCCTTCAATTTTGACTTTATGTAATACACTAATGTCATTAGGTAAAATTGTAACTTAGAGCGACTCAAAAACGGAGACAACTATATTTAACTGTTCGTTTAAGATTGACTCTCCACTTTTTTTTTTAATTACCGGATTCTTCTTTCCCCACAATATATTTCTGAAATCACACATCAATTAATCACTATGAAAAGTCTATTCACTACGTGAAAGGAACACGATTTTAATTAATATTTATGATTTTTACACTATCTAACACAAAATGAATGAAACCAGTGGTTTTGTATTCGTTCTCCCAAATGTCCCGAAAGTTACCTATGTGAGATCTAGCGTTCCCGTGCATTGTGTACTTAAATTTCTAATGCCTGAGGGGACAAGCTTGAGAGCATGACTCTTCCACACATTCAAGCTCTCCTTAGTGACACTTTCTCAAAAAATTCATTAAGGAACGCCTTCCTGACTTTGCTTTTTGTAAAATTTTAATTAATATCATTCAGGCTCAAAACAGTGCTTTGGCACTCCACTTGGTCTCGGCGATGAAGGAAATTGACTTTTCGCGAGTAATATCATTTACCGGAGGTGGAAAATATTCCCAGAATCTTTTCTCCAACGTCAGTGAAGGCGTAGTTTCTTTATCCTCTTAGTGCCAACAAGTAATTCCTTTTAGGAAAAACGTAAATATTCTAATTGCACCGGGCTGAAGTAACAAATAATTTATATTTCTTTTGAGAAGGACTACGATAAATAAATTTTAAATTTTCGTTTAACTTCAAACTTGATCTCTGAAGTTATCGGAACGTAGTGCCTAGAGGTATATTTGAACCTAAAGGGGAATTAAATGTCAGAAGGCTAAAGAGAATCAGATAATTAATTAGGTCCTCAAATTATATTTGCCACCATACATTATTAGGATAATACAATAGAGGAGATGGTTGAAGCATGTGGCATGCATCAGAGAGATACTTTCAAAATTTGGTTGGAACGCCTGAAAGGAAGAGGCGACTTAGAATAAGTAGGTTATATGGAAGGATAATACTGAAAGATTCAAAAGTGTTTTGCCTGACGTACACTGACATCCCAGAGGTATTATTAACCACTCCATGCCACTTAGATTATTGTTAAACTAATAAAACAATCGATAATGGTGCTGTTATTACGGCGAAGATGAGGTCAAGGAGGAGTTGAGTCTGCACATTTATAATCGGAACTGAAATACAGTTTCCAAATGCGTTGTCTGAAAATGTCCAATTCTAAATGCATCTTACCCAAGTTTTCACAGCCTAATCTAACCTCACCTAATCAATTTAACATAAATTAACCCAAACCAACCTACTTATACAAGACGTAACCTAATATTATGTAACCTAACCTAACCGACACGGTAGCTAATTCATGACTGGGGGCTGCGTCTCATTAGTCGTATTCATCAACTACACCAGTGTCACCCAGCAATGCACCACAGCGGGCCCCTTGGAAAACACATCCGCCGATACTGTTTGTATATCCGCTCCAAAAAGACGGCTCTGAATTAATCAGGGATTTGCTCCCAGTGGTGCATCAACGTTTTCCCGGTCATCCCACGTTGCACAACAGAAACCCCAGAGAAAACCCACCTTCCTCGCACTTTAGACCGATGCCCCATCTAGTACACGCATCATTTTAGAGTACGCTCCAGTGACACAAACTTCATACCAAATTTAATAGAAATCATATGGACAGACAGGACCTACCGGCCTAATATACGCTCCTGAGTCGGGGTGTTAAAGGAAGCGTAGGAAAATCCGAGGGGCAATGCCACTGAGAACTTGTCATGTGGACAATCACCAAGCGTAAGCAGTCCGGAATTTGGTTTAGTCCTACTTTAACCACTTGAGTCCAACCCGTCATAGGTGAAACCCTACGAAGGCAGAAAATGTATTTCCAATCTGCTTGTGGTATAGGCAAGGATAGGATGTCCGGAAGTCAGAAATGCAGCAAGAGAAATAGAAAAGGAACAGGCCAGAACGAAGAAAGTTATACTCCGATAAGGGCCTGAGAGTTAAGACCCCAGGGATAAAACAAAAATCCTCGTTTGAACTAGGGTGGAGGGGGCATTACCTGGGGGTGTCCTCAGGGATATTTCTAGCTCACGTAGCTCTATTATGATCCTCCTGAGACTTCGATATAATTAGCTGTTGTGGAGAGGCCCAGGTGTGTTCAACCCGACACACGCAAGACTAGAATGCGGAGGGAAACTAAGGGGAGCAAGGAGTAGCAATGACAATAACAGTAAGGATTATAACAAGGATATAAATTGAAATAAAAGGATATAATCAGCAACATAAACAAGGATCACAGAACAAAACAGTAAAATAAACAATACCTATAATGACAATAAAATAACAATATCAAAGAGAAAAATAATATTTCTAATGCCAATAAAAATAAAAAGTACAGCGAAAATAACTCACAGCAGTGCAAACCTCAAATTCTGCATATAGTACAATTCACATGTCGCAACTGAGAGACAGGCGGGCAGACATTGACCTTCGCTACCACTAAATAAGTATGTATCTTCTTCTTAAAGTGCCTATCCGTTCCGGATGTTGGCGATCAGCATAGCAATTTGAGCTTTACTAGCTGCTACTTGAAACAGCCCTCCAGTGGACATCGAGAACCAAGTTTTTAGGTTCTGAAGCCAGGAGATTCTTGGCCTGCCAGGTCCCCTCTTTCCCAATACTTTTCCCTGGATTATCAGCTGAAGCAGCCCAAATCTATCACTCTTTCTCATGATATATGAAATACTCCAACTTTCTCTTTTTATGCTGTTAACAACCTCGACGTCTTTGCGGAGTTTCTCGAGAACTTTTTGTTGGTTATACGGTCAATCACAGAAATTCTGAGAATACGTCGGTACAACCACATTTCGAAGGCCTCCAACTTTTTTGAAGCAGCTTCGGTCAACGTCCACGATTCAGGGACAGAATATAGCATCTGAGTAGTCTTAACTTGGTGTTTATGTTTAAGTCTCTACTGCTGAACATTGATCCCATTTTGATGAAAGTAGCTCTGGCTTTTTCGATACGGCACTTTATTTCCAAGGAGTGATCCCACTGGTCATTAATTGTGCTGCGCAAGTATGTATATTTCGATACCCTTTCTATTTTTTTATTATTAACTACCAGCTGACCGTGTAATACAGCATTCTTACTGATGACCATGAGCTTCGTTTTTCTTGATGTTCAACTCTAAGCCGTGGCCTTCACAATACGATCCATCAATTCTTGGAGACCTTACAGAGAGTCGGCGAACACTACAGTGTCGTCCGCGTACCGAATGTTATTTAATCGTTCTCCAGTCACAAGCACTCCAGCGTTTACATTTTCCAATGCTTCTTCAAATATGTGTTCCGAAAAGAGATTGAATAGTATGGTCTGTGTGAATTTGGGTTCTCATAAATCTAAATGGGAATCAATGAAATATTCTTGTTTGTCTTTCTGTTATATAGTAGGCTGTTATTTTCTTAACTAGCTAGGTATACTATAAGTCTGTCAAAGCCTCTGCTTCATAGAGTTAATCTGTTAATTGTTTGGCTTGCCTGTAAGCTAGTTAGTTAACAGAATTGTTAATTTATAAAAATGTAAATTGGAGGATTTCATATGCCCTAAAGTGAAGCCACAAATTTCAGATTTATTCACGTGTTCATTCAGCCTCTGGTTGTAACCGCTTGTCCGATCTTAGTTCAGTTTTAATTAAATAATTTTGTATATTTAATCTTTCTATTATTAGGTTATATGTATTTTATATCAATTTATTAACATTTTGTATTTCACATTAATTACCACAAGATACATTATTCTGCTTTAAAAATCTCAAGATGTTTATTGTATTAACAACTAGGAGGTTTAGAACCACATGTTTAGAACGGAAGTGGACATCTGCTTCTAAGTACAGGAAGCAACACTTATGCTAGATGTGCACAAAACATATTTAGGGATTTACTTAATTTTCGATCTCTAAATAACCCTGCTTTAAACCGAATTCTGTTTATTACCTCACAGAGCTTCACATTTAGGAGAACGCTTGGGAAAACAGGTTGTGAGGTTGTTGTAATAGTCTATCTCTTTCATGAGAAAGGGGTGTTACTTTACGCCAAAACCGGACCCTAAACCAATGGAAATTAATGTCATGTCATTCTTGGCTGGAGTCAATAAATTTGTTATCCAGTCAGGAATAAATTGTTTTCTTGTGAATGTCTCTTATCCCCGGTGTTGAGGGTGACAGACTTCACTTGGCACTAGAACGTCGAGAATTCAACTTCAAAGTTTTCACTTCGAATTCTCACTTGGTACACTTTTGGAACCTTACTTAGAAACCTACAACTAAATTTCTGGTATCTAATTTGCCAAGAGCAACGCAAGTGATTAATAGCTTGACTGAAATATTTTATAAATTTGTCATTTACTACCGTTCGTTAGCTGTAACCTCAGTGTTGCACGCGTGTGAATATATAGCGGCTACATCCTCGAAATCAATCCAGTGTTATCATTAGTTGCTACGAACAGGCCGTTAACACCACCTGAGATCCTGAGTCCATCTACCGACGAGCTAGGATCCATAAACATATTCACCCTAAGATATCCAATTTTCGCCACCTGCACCCAAATTAAAACATTATCCTTGTAGCCAACATCACCATCGCCCTGATATCAGA